GCACGAGATGACAGAGGTGACCAAGTACCTGAGCAGAGGACACTGAGGAGACCCGGCCAGGCTTCTCGGAGGGGCACAATGACAAGACAGGAGTCCACAAACACGGAAAGTTCTGATCTGATAAAAGGGAATAAAATATTTACCTGAGGGTGGCTGAATACGTTTGCCAGAGAGGTTGGGCATCTCCATCCTCAGAAGGGCTCAGGACTCAACTGGCCAAGTCCCAAGTGACCTGACCTACCTAGACCTGCTCTGAGAGGGCAGAGGGACTCCAGGACCTTCAGAGGCCTCAAATGATCCTGTCTTTATATCACTTTAAGATCACTTCAATCCTCAACAAACACTGCCATAACAAATACAAAAGTTCATCATAATTACACGAAGCAAATTAGGTAAAGGGCAATAATTATTCACCTGTACTTTCATTAAACCCTTTGCAAAAAATAGCCAAGAACTAACCTAATCTGGGAAGACAGAATCAGAATCACCTATATAATTAATTTCTCGTGTGAAAGCTGTAAGATGTTTTAACAGTTGAATGCTTTGACAAGTCAGAAGGTAAAGGACAAGGCAAGTGCAGAAAATGCAGCTAATACCAGACCAAGCTGCTGCCCCAGTCTTCAGTGTCTGCACCAAACGGAAACTAAGAACTGAAAAACAAAGATAAAACTATTAAATAGTGCCAAAGTCTAAACTGCTATTAATTTTTAAAGACTACTCCAGATTCAACCAGGATTGATCAATATGGGGAAGAACTATTGCTGGAAGAAAATGGAAGAAAAAAATGAATGTTTTCACATCAACCTACGGACGCAGTAATTCAGACCTAAAGCCATGGTGCTGCACAGAACAACAGGCCTACTTGCATAGATGCATTTGGTTGCTTTTATAATGCTATGCTTTGTTTTAAAGCTTTCCATGTCAGAAAGAAGTCTGTTCAAAATAGAGAGACAAGCAAAAAGATTTCAGATATTGGATAGAACATTATGTTCCTTCAAAAAAATAAAAAGAATCCAATAGGCATTTCTTTTTAATGGACCTGCTGGCCTCGCTCCAAAAGGGAATGGTTGCAGTCCCACTGTTTTGAGGCAAAATACCAGAAAACATGTCAAAGAAGTATTTGTAAATTATTGCAGACCGAACAGAAGAAAAGCAGTTGTCTGGGCTATTTCAATCCATTCCAACAGCTGCTCCGAAGGGCAGCACTTGCACAAGGACACAGACTACACAGCGAGCAGCTCTTTTCTAATTTGGGATTTCATGCACCGCAGGAAAAGGTTTTAGGGGAACGTGTCTGCTGCGCCCACTGGCATTTTAAGAATATTGCTTAATGTCTGAGCTTGCACGACGAGTGCGATGGCGCTGCTATAAAAATCAGGGTGCTGAAGGTCTCATGGCAGCAAATCAGACTTAATTGTCTGATAGGATTTATTCCGGTTGCAACTTCTGCTTCCAAACTCCCACTGGGTATCTGAAGAGCAACCTCATGCAAGAGACGCTGGAAAGGAGTAAAGAACAGCACACAGGAAGCTCAGCAAGTTAAACTGCACCTTATGAATAAATAAAGAGAAGGTTAAACTCTTCTCCTTCGTGCCCTAGTTCAGCAGTAATAGTGCTGAGGTTTCTTTTTGCTAAGAAAAAGTTTCCTTTGCAGGGAATAAACTGTTTCCTTTGCACAAAATAAATACTAAAACACTAATGCTTCGCAACTCCGCTTGTTATTGGAAAAATAAGTTCCTCTGAACAGTGATAAATTATGTATTAGTCCATTTAAAAAGCTTTTAAGATTGTGTTTCTGTGAAGACAGCTTCCAGTTATGGAAGGTAAATCAATATACTCGTGTTCTATCCACGAGCAGGAACGACACCGGCAAGATCTAAGCTTTCCTAGGGCCTCCCAAGGCCAGGGTGGGATGCAGGGCGAGGAAAAACCATCGGATGAGCAGGTGGGGCAGCCGGGGAGGAGCCGGGCTCTGAGGAAGCCCTCGGGAAGAGGCTCCCGGGCGGAATGTCTGCTGGAGCGGGGGAGTCCTGCACGGGGCGGCGGGCAGCGCCGCGCTGAGCGCTCCGCACCCAGGCTGCAGCAACGCCCCGCACCGCCTGCGCCGGCCGGGAAGGAGGGCCAGGACCTTCAACACAATCAGACTGAGGATTTTACATGCAATTAACTGAAAGAGAGGAAAAACAAGCCCTCAAATTGAGCCATTTTAGAAAAGATGCATTTTTTTCTTTAAAAAGTCAACAGAAAAGTAACTGAATAGAATTTGAGTAATACTGAGTTACAGAATTTACTTCATTATGTCTATCTAATAATTTATTCCCCAAATATTATTTAATCACATCCTGCATTACGAGATTATTCAAACAGAGACATCTGAGTACTCAGCCTCTGTTGCTTAATGATTATTCTGCAGTTGAAGAAGGTTTATTTACAGACCTAAGAAAACAGGACACTTCTCTTTAGGCAACAAGAGCACAGACTACAAAAAATAACTGATTCTAGGGAATTAGGACGCTACGGTGCAACCCACTGGCATCCGAGGCCATTTGCTCAAGGCTACAGCTTGGTTTTAAAAGATCCTAGTACAGTTTTATGAACATTAATAGCACTGTGAAAGGGTAGGAGTAAACCTGATGTCTGCTTTCTTCTTTTAGGCTGATCTTAGGTTATTTTTGAAGCCTAAGTACTCTGAAAAGCGCTAAGATGCAATAAAAGCTCCCTGTAGAAATTCTGCTTTAAATTTATGGCTCTTCCTCCCTTCATTCCGGGCTAAGCACGAGTTGCTCCACATGCACAAGGCCCAGAGGAAGCTCCCAGGTCACTGTCACTGCAGCACTGAGCCGAAGGGCTCCATGATGTCCCCTCTCACTCCCATTAACACCATTACTCTGCTCCAACGTGCGCTAAGGAACAACGATCTGTTGGGCCTATCAGCCCTGCCTGGCTTTACGTGCGGATGCGTAAGCGGGAAAGCAACGCAGGGCCACTCGAAAACAAAACCACGTAGGTGCTGGTGGGGGACAGCTGGCATCACTTCCATTTTCAGGTTCCCTTTAGAGCCATATGCGAGTTACAGGCCTGAAAGAAGAACCATGAAGGAAAGAACAACCCACAGATGCTTCTAAAAGCGCAAAAAAACTCTTCCTCCTGGTTGTAGCTCTCCAAAACGTGATCCAAAAGGACAATGCTCGCTCCCCAAGCCTTCCCAACGGCTGCACTCCAGAGGCATCCCAGCCCTTTAGGACACTTCCCGAGCTCCCTCCTTAAGGAATCAAGCAACACTTACTACCTGCGACACACGGAGAGGCCCCAAGGGCCGGGATGAAGCTCCCAGGTGCTGCAGCTCCCGGCAGGACAGCACAGGGAATTGCGACCCACTTCAAAGCGATTCCTGCTACCTGAAAATTGGGATTACTCCTGCAGCAATGTGCTTTATGACTCCGATTTGTTCACTCTTAACCATTACTAATATACAGTGAGAAATATTCTGAGAGCATTATTGCTACACGCAGCAAAAAGCTGCCCAAACGGACAGGCAGAGCAAATCTGAGTTTGCATTGGAGCCAAAAGAGCTGTAATAACTCCTGAAAACAAGAGACACCCCTGTGTTTGAGCAATCCTCCAACGTGACACATCTCCAGCCATAACAGCTTCATTAGCTTTGGTTTTTTAATTACTGAGCTGCAACACCCGTGTGATAACATGTTTCCAAACTCCTGTGTGCACTCACTGCCGTGTTGGCTTGGATTTTATGCTGGAATTAATAGGTAGAAACTTGGAATATAATGCATTCTGCATAAACCACACTTGAAAGACAAAACTGCAAAACTGCCCCTATTTGTCTGTGGGTCAAACTGTTTAGTGGCAAAGGCAAGGGGAGGTAGAAAGGAGGTAAGAAAATTAACCCCAGAAGCCAAGGATCCCAGCTCTGCAACAGCTTTTTGCAGGCAGGAGGACAGGCTGTGCGCCACACGGCCACTTTCTGCGCTAAGACATTCACCTTATCCCATGCCTGAACTTAAGTGACTTTCAACACAAATCCATTTGCTGAAGTCTTCATTCATAAAGGCAATTGCTTCCAA